GTGTCAATAAAACATAATTAAAAGGATGCTCGTAACTTGGTTATGTCATGTAACATATTTACTATTTTTTTAATATAGGCTAATGAATGATCAAAAAATAATCACGTTTTAAATGTTTGAGAATATATAATATAGATCTAGATCTAAACTTTTAAAAGATATTTATATGCATGTTTATTTCAGTTTTGATTAGGCTTAATTAGTGTGTTTTAGTAATGTTTAATCATGGCAATTTATAAATGATAGCTATGTCATTGTAAAATGAATCTAACCCTCCTCCCTTACTGGACTTGAAACCTGTGTGTTATTCACAAAGCTTTGTCCATGCTGAGTTTAAAATATTGTTAAGATTTGTATCTATTTTTTAAAACTGTAATCACATTAAAATTGATCAAGTTAATGAGAAACGCATTCTAAACAATATCACTGGCAGTGCGCATGACAGGCATCTCGCTTGCGTAGTGACAGACAGATGCTCACTCAAGTAGTTTTGTCAACCATAAAAGTTAACCTATCAAATACAATTCATCAGGCCTATAAAATTAAGAGGCCTATCACATTAAAATGATTGCCTGTGACCGAAAGATATAGGCAAATTACAAACATTGCAGCCCACCTGTGTTCTTTTGTAAACCGGTGAGAGAAAACTCAAAGCACAGTATGAGCGTGTTCTAAATATAGTCCAAGTACTTTGTTAGCCCAAGTTCTAATTAATAATTCTAATTACTAAGTACTAATTAGTAATGTAAGCCTAGACCCAACACTAAAATCATTTAATTTTTCAGACCTCTTAAATCTTAATAATATGAACATTATTTAGCCTAATAAAAGTATATCAACAAAGAACAGTGAGAATAATATTATATTAGATTAATTAAAATCTATGAAATCAATAAGAATTAACAAAAATTAATTAAGCTATAACACATTTGAAAACAACAAATAATTAGGCACAGATAAGCACACAAAGGCAAACTCCCAATAATTTCAGGGATTAACACAAATTAAAAAACAAAATAATAGATTGTTGTGGTTTAGGGGCTTTTAGAGTCATAGTATAATCAAAAAGCCAGGTGAAAGATCCATGATGAGACTTAATTAGCCTAATTACGCTAGCAAAATAGGTAGGGGGACTTACTTAAGCAGTGACAGAAAATAACTATACAGCTTCCGTATCAATAGCAATGACGTCACTCACAAAAAAAATATTGTTTTCGTGACGTATCAATAGCAATAACGTCACTCACAAAAAAAAATATTGTTTACGTGATATGTGGGTAATTTTTTTTCTCAAAATGAGTACAGAATATTTACAATTTTAATTCAGAAACAGATCAATCTAATAATCCCCTACCTAACAGTGCAAGTTTGGAAACTTACAGATCGATATTTTAAGTTTTTAAGCAACTTAAAACTTTACCCATGTTTATGTTTGACCTTCATTGATGGAAGCTAAACAATTTTTTTTTTCTGGCAAAAATAGCTTTGTCATCTTCAGGTAGCATAAAATACGCTTATTTTCTGCCATTTTTCATGTGATAATCGTTTTTTTAAAAACCTAATTCCAAGAAAGTCACTTTACTGTTAAGCAAAATTTTCAGAAACATGTGTCTGGTTTTGGGTCTGCAAACAAAATATGTAGGCCTGCTATAATTTTTTTTTCATGATCTATCTGGGTCTATTTATATAGTTGTTTTTTAACTGTTGTAAAAAGTCCTTGAAATTTTTAACCTTGAAATGCAGTGCTTGTGAAAATTGCTGCTGTCACTGCACTCATCCTATTTTCTCCTCCCACCACTTGTAAAAAAAAATCAGCTATTTGCTTTGGGGGGGAGTTGGGGCGCTAGATCTTTGACATTAGTATTAGCATAGTTACTTCTGAAATCTTCTTCATAATAAAATATATGTGTCACCTTGTTATGTGCCATTGAAGCCATTGACTCTGATTTTTTCCTGCTTTTCTTTTTGGATTTGCTTCCATAGCTTTTGTCCACCCAAGAACAAACTACAAGGCAGAAGTTGTTTGATTTTGGAGTTGTTTCTCCTAGAAGAGTGGCTGCCCTCTGCTAACGAGCCTCATCTGCCCGAGTGTTCAAACTCAAGACTTATCGGTTTAGCAACCATGAGCTTTACCCACTCGACCACACCAACCCCACTTCTGAAGTGATTTCTTAGTAAAAAATAACGTTTCTGTAATCCTGCGATGTGTACTTACGAATTTCCACAATATTTTTTTTTACGTCATCGCGCATATCAAGGTGGGGGACATTGGTGGTGAAATGGTGCAACATAAGGTTTTAGATTTTGATGTGGAAATTAGCCATATACCTGGGTATGTTGTAAAAGCAGGCATACGACAGTGTACATTTGTGTTGTAGGCCTACCACTTGTTATAGTTCAGGCCTGCTAAAAAAATTCTTAGATATTTCTACACATTTCTATATTACCAACAGTAGAAAAAGTGACCACTGCCACTATAAACAGAGTTGTTTGTATTGTGGTTTACATGCATGGGGTAGGTCTAGAGATTGTACTAACATTTTAAACTAATTATGTTGTATTATATATTGGATATATATATATATATATATATATATATATATATATATATATATATATATATATATATATATATATATATATTGGATATATTTTTGAATAGACTGATAAACCTAATAGTTCTTCAATCTTCAATTAATTTTTCTACTTCGCGGGCTAATATTTTTTTAAGTTCTATCATTTTTAATGGTACCAACTTTTAAATATACCTTCCTTCTCCAAAGCAAATTTTAAAATGTTTTTCTGGCATATTTTGCCCTTCCACCTATAGCTTGTTTGTATAACATGAAAAACCCACATTTTTGCTCTTGGTAGGCCTAAACGTTTTAAAAACTAATTGTAAGAAGGTCACTGGAGCTAAGATGAAAAATCTTTGAAAGTCATGCATCTGGTGTGGACATCATATTGATGTTAGCAACGATCCACACCTCCAAGGTAGTGAGTAATACTAATATTTTTGTGTCAAATATAATAGTAATAGATAATTGAATAATAAACCAAAATCAATGTCCAAATATATCAATATAAGCCAGAAATTAACTTTAAACAGCCTAGTTTGCGAGCTAGATTTGCTATATAAACAACGGCCAACTGTAAATTAGGGTAGTTTCCCTTGAATCTCTAGCTTAAATGTTACCAAAAAACTTTAACAAGATGGCTGCTTTAGTAAATGAGCTTGGTTGCATCAAGTGAAAACATCGTTAATCTTTATTTATTACTGAAAAGTTTTACTACTGATGTTTTAAAACAGGCACATCAAAAGTTTGTAACATTTTTGTAGCTTTCAAAATGTGAATCCTTCTAAAAATGCCAACTAATTACAATAATTTGATGTCACCCTTTTTTTACTTTCTCGTATACAGGGTATAGAGAAAGTATTCTGATAGTGCACAAAAATCACATGAAATTTTGACGGTTTTCACCGTTTTTCACCTCAGTCCTTCATCTGGAGTATAGAAGACTTATTTTAATCGGGCAAAAATTATAAACCCACATTTATCAAATTTTTGACGTTTTATGCATAATCGAGTCTGAAAAACTGGGCTTTGCAATTCTTTCAGTTTATGTGTGTCTGTGAACACGATAACTTGAGTACAGTTACAGCTAGGTTGATAAAATTTCATATATAGATCTAAGCATTATATCAAATTTCTAGTTCTGTATCAACTTTTCAGCGATTTCTAATTAACCGGAAGTGGAACTAATTCTACTTTAAATTTTTCAAAAGCCTATAACTTGAGTTCTGTTTTAGATAGCCAAATGAAATTTCATATGTAAGTAAAAGATCTAATTTTCCACCTTCTTTCAAATTTAGAGTATTTTCCGTTGACCAGAAGTAGTAATGGACGCTATTTCTAATTTCTCAAAAATGCTTGTGAATATATAAAGTACTAATAATATTCCGCACTATTATACACATTTTGTTTCGCATTTCTTTGGTGTGCAATTCTTTTTTTCTACAAGATTCTATTCTATTTTAAAAAGTTTAAGTACTTAAACATGGATTTAAAAATCATGTCTATATATAGTATATCCTGAGTTGCCAATCCGCCGTAGTGTTATATAAGAATATTCGAGAAAGCTTAGTGGAGATCACTACTGGCTTTTTAACATTACTAGCCTCTGCAGATTTTATGTACATAAAATCATAGATTACCTTAGTCTGTTAATTAAGAATAGTAAGGTGTACTTTTGACCTAATTTCTTTATTTATCTCGCAAGCGACACTTTAGTGAAAGTAGCTTTGTATATTCTTGTTTTAAAATGAACTTACAATCAAATAAACTTCTAAACTATGATTCTAATGTTATGCCGTGTATGATTAAACAACGGTTTGGGAATAATTCTCATGTCCTTAGGTGTGGTCACTATGCCAGTCATATACCCCCCCCCCTCCCGATTAATGCCAATTAATTATAATCTTGTGAAAAACAAGGCGCGTTTAGATGTGTGCTGCGCCCAAAGCCAATCATTTGGCCAGATTTATTATTTGTCATGTGGCCCCATATTTTAAAAAACATAAAGCGTTGCGCTTTCCTCATTGATGATTGTTTTTGTTTTTTTTCATTTTTTAAAGTGAAAATATGAATTGTTATGATTGCAGTTTTTGTAACATGGTATACTTACCTTCTGTCAATTTAAAAAGCATGGCATGTTAATTTTGTACAAATATTGTATAAAAAAAAAAATTTTAAGTTTGATTTTATTTTCTACCATAATCCGCCACCCTCAGGCATATACAATACATTAATTATTTTATTTTTAAAATTGTTTATTGATTGTATTAACTTTAAGCTATCTAAATTCATTTCTAAGATATTTTAATATGCTTCTGAGAAGTTTTATTGAAAAAACTTTATTTTGACTATAGTCACTAGATCTGTATAATCACCACTTTAACATTTAAATATCTAATCCTCAGTTCATTTATAAGAAGCAGCATGGGAGAGGCAACTGGTGATTTAGATTTACAGTCTGATGAGTTTAAAGAATTTTCAAATTCTGAAGATATGAAGCCACTTCTATCTACAGTATTTTCATCTTCTTCTGACATAAAAACAGAATTATCATTTTTAACTTTCCGTGATATCAAACCAAACATGGCATTTATAAATTCACAGGATGATAAAACCGTTGTTACGCCAGATTTTTCATCTTCTACAGACACAAAGTCAGAATGTACAACATTTTCCTCTTTTGATGATGTAAAACACCATATGACATTTCTAACTTCTCAAGATAAAACAACAGGGTTTTTAATTTTTAAAGATATGGAACCTGCTGTATCAGCAGTATGTACAAGATCTGAAGATATAAAACCAGAATTAGCAATTTTATCAACTAGTGAAGATATAAAACCAGAATTAGAAACTTTATCAACCAACACAGAATTAGAAATTTTATCAACTACTGAAGATACAAATCCAGAATTAGAAAATACATCAACTAGTGAAGATCTAAAACGAGAATTAGAAACTTTATCAACCAGCGAAGATATAATACCAGAATTAGAAACTTTATCAACCAACATAAATATAAAACCAGATTTATGGACAAAATTTTTAGATTCAGAGGACAAACAACAAAATGGACTTGAAGAAAAGCTAAAACTCTCTGAAAACAAAACATATCTCTCTGATGATTGTCATGAACAGTTTTTTCCAAGTTCTAACTTGAATAACCAAGCTGAAGCAGGGGAGAGGCCACTTGAATGTGATGCTTGCAATAAAATGTTTTCAGATAGTTCTAGGTTAATTAAACATAAAGAAGTTCATTTAGGGGATAAGCCATATGAATGTGATGATTGTCATAAAAAGTTTTCTAATAGTTCTGCTCTAAGCAGCCACAAAAAAATTCATTTACTAGTTAGACATTATGAATGTGATGTTTGTCACATAAGGTTTTCAAGGAATTCTGGTTTAGCGAAACACAAAAAAGTTCATTCAGGAGATAAACCATTTGAATGTGATGTTTGTCATAAAAAGTTTTCTCAGAGTTCTGGTTTATATACACACAAACAAGTTCATTCAGGAGATAAATCATTTGAATGTGATGTTTGTCATAAAAAGTTTTCATACAGTTCTAAATTATATACACACAAAAGAGTTCATTCAGGAGATAAACCATTTGAATGTGATGTTTGTCATAAAAAGTTTTCTCAGAGTTCTAGTTTATATAGACACAAACAAGTTCATTCAGAAGATAAACCATTTGAATGTGATGTTTGTCATAAAAAGTTTTCATATAGTTCTAAATTATATACACACAAAACAGTTCATTCAGGAGATAAACCATTTGAATGTGATGTTTGTCATAAAAAGTTTTCTCAGAGTTATAATTTATATACACACAAAAAAGTTCATTCAGGAGATAAACCATTTGAATGTGATGTTTGTCAAAAAAAGTTTTCATATAGTTCTAGTTTATATACACACAAAAAAGTTCATTCAGAAGATAAACCATTTGAATGTGATGTTTGTCATAAAAAGTTTTCATATAGTTCTCATTTATATACACACAAACGAGTTCATTCAGGAGATAAACCATTTGAATGTGATGTTTGTCATAAAAAGTTTTCATATAGTTCTCATTTATATACACACAAAAGAGTTCATTCAGGAGATAAACCATTTGAATGTGATGTTTGTCAAAAAAAGTTTTCTCAGAGTTCTAGTTTATATACACACAAAAGAGTTCATTCAGGAGATAAACCATTTGAATGTGATGTTTGTCAAAAAAAGTTTTCTCAGAGTTCTCATTTATATGCACACAAACAAGTTCATTCAGAAGATAAACCATTTGAATCTGATGTTTGTCATAAAAAGTTTTCAGACAGTTCTTATTTATGAAAACAGAAAAGTTCATACTGGAGATAAACCACGTGAATGTGATGATTGCCCGAAATATTTTTCTGAAATAAAGACTCCCGACATATTGGCTCCCGATATAAGGGCTCAAGATAAGGGCTCCCGACATGTTGGCTCCCGGCAATTGGGCTCCCAAAATATTGGCTTTTGATTAAATGACTCTCGACATATTGGCTTCAGACCAATGAATTGCATGACCACTATTGGCATAAAAGTAACAATTTTGTCTTACATCTAATACCACTATAAACTCTTTTAAAT